TCACATTTGACTTTGTCTTATTCTTTTGTGAGAAGTCAAATATGAATTAAAATGTTGTGCAAATAGAGTCGGTGTAATAGCTTGCTGCATGAAGAGCATTGCAATAAGCAGGCCAAACAGTTCCCCTGCCAATTGGGTAAACCTATTGATAACAGAACAAGCTCCTAAAATAGCCAGCAAGAACAGCAAGATTGCAATCCATACACATACCCTGCCAAAAGATCATGTAAGTTCTACTACAAAGAAATCAAAAAGTAATATTTCAATACGTATATTAATGTGCAAAACAGAGGCAGAGGCAGAAAAATATCTTACCATCCAGTCCATGCTAGGAAGAGTTTTGGTCCCAAATCAGGTCTGTCTTTGGCAAAGTTAAACATGAACGTGTACATAAGCACAGTAGGTTCTGCCACTCCAAGAATCAGCAAAGGCTGACCTCCAATAATAGTGTATAATCCCACACAAAGCAGTAGATGCCAATGTCTGAACTGCTGTTAGAATCCCAACCAGAAAACAGAAATGCTTGCTAGAAAACAGAACAAAATGCTTCTATTAATAGCTTGCAATGCAAAGGAAATCTTATCAATACCATTCGAAACTCTAGCTGGACTTCATGAGATTACCAACCTAACTAGAAAACAGAATTCGAACCACAGTATAATTTATCAGTGTTACCTGTATTCCTGTCCAACTGTTCACCAAATGAAATAACTGGGATAGCAGAAGCAAAGAATATGTAAGTTGTTGGAGCCAAAATCCTGAAAAAAAATATACAATAATGGATGTTATTGGGCTAACTCACAATCTTATATGGATATATCAAAATTAATCTATGAAAGAACCCTGAAATAAGAAACCAGAAACCACTGGACCCTGAAACAATGGAAGGAGGAGAGATAGCAATTTCTGAGGCAGCACTCTGGGTTGGGTTGGTCCCATCTGCAAGGATCACGGGTCTTCTAGAGGAAACAGTTACAGAATTAACTTGCTGAGATTTTTTAGGATTATCTGCAGCATTCTTTTCTTTTGCAGTAGTGTAGAATGGAAGTTCTCCAAGACATGGATAAGAGATTTCTGATTATCAGGCACTACTTAGAAATCCACATCCATGGGGACAAATTGTATAGGATGAATACCACTGGCCATATACTGTATGTGACACTGAGTGTTCTGAAGGGATTTATGCCATCACTTGCCAAACCAAGCCTAACATTGCAAGGTTCAGCTGCAAAGTCCGGATACTTAGCATCAAATTCCTTCCAAGCAGGAGAGTCAGCAGGGTGTCTCATGAAGCCATCCTTGATACATCCATTTTCATGCCAAGTCATAAGAGATGCCGTTTTAGTTGACATGAAAAGACGTTGCAGCCTTGGCTTTAAAGGAAAATAGCGTAGGACCTTTGCAGGAATCTTTCTCTCCCTTGTACCAACTGCCCCATCAGTGTTGTTCTCATGGTCGCCATTTGGCTTCCATCTTGAATCACCACACACGGAACAGATCTCATCATTAGCATGTTCTTGCCAAAACAACATGCAATCATTTGGACATGCATCAATCTTTTCATACTGAAGTCCAAGACTTCCTATCATTTTCTTAGTTTCATAGAAAGAACTTGGTACTTGATTACCTTCTGGGAGCACCTCCTTCAACAATTCAAGCAACTCGGTAAATGACTTGTTACCCCATCCATACAAACACTTCATATGAAATAACCTAACAATGAATGAAAGCTTTGAGAATCTTGTACACCTTCGATATAATTCTTGTTCAGCATGTTGTAAGAGATTAAAAAAATTCTGAGCATCAGGATTAGGCCCTCCACTAGGTTGTACTGGAATATCCATCCTTTCATCACATTGTTCCACTATAGGAATACCACATGCATCATGAATCATCCCATGCACATCATCACACTCAATTGGGTTATCAAAAGAACGAGCCTCATTATATGTCGTATGCACAGAAATTGACCCATCAACAACACATTTCCACATTTTGTACAAGGACATCGAATTTTTCCTTCACGGTCTGCCTTCCTAAAAGCAAACCTACTGAACTGATCAACACCATCTAGATACTCTTTAGAAGTTCTTGATCGGTGAATCCAACTCTTGTCCATCTTACACCCTAATGAAAAAAAGACAAGAGATCAATTGTGATATGAATGAAAATAATGGATAAGGATTTCAAGAAGAATTTCAAAACTTACTTTCCTTTGGATTCCGATTCGGAATGATCCATTCCCATAGTCTGTTTGGTTCAAACAGGAATGAGAATGAGAATTAAAATCAACGGAGAACAGGAATTTTGCCAAGCATCGGCTATATCAATTTATCATTGAGATATTCCATATCCCAAGAAGATAGCAGAATAATGCCATTAATTTCGTAGTATTTTTAGATTTCACTCTAACTTTGTATTGATTCATTTGGGAGATTTATGGATTCAGTCAGCATCTGACTCCTGACCTCTCCATATCCCCCCCCCCTGGTTATCACCTTCGCCGCCACCCCAACCCCAGTGCTAAGGAACAGTTGAAAGGTGGAAGGATCATGACTCCTGACCTCTCCATAGCAAGACCATAAGCCACAAAAAATA